TTTTTTTTTTTTTTGGATATTCACCTTCTCTGGAAGTTCAATGTTTCATTTCTGGTTATAGTCTTTTAGACATGGATTATCTCCTTTACAGGATTTTAGAATACAACAGAAATTTTTTATGTTCCTGTTTATAGAATGGGCTGGAGCAATCAGATTCACAGAGGGAAACAAAGTGATGGAGACAGAGATAGAATTTTGATAGGATTTTAAAATAGAGTTCAATTCAAATTATATTTGTTAGATTATATTAGATTAGCTTTAATAATTCGATAAAACTCTAGTTTATTAGATATTCTTTCGTGAATCGGCCTAGGATAACTGAGTGCAGTACTTGCCAGGGGGTCGAGAAGATTTGTTTCATTAATTTTAGCTTATTTACTCTCTATAATGGGGGCTTATTCATTATAATAGGTATCCTTAAATATAAGAAATATACTCACTCCGTCCCAATTATATAGGCGGAGTTTCCTTTTTCTCTTGTCACAAATATATATGCATGTTTTCTAATATAGAATATTTTGTTGTGTTCCTTTACCAATATGCCCTTATTAAATTTTCCCCACTTAATATGCCAACTTCTTGAAATCATCCAAATACACACATTTCTCACTTCTTGAAAACATAGAACAATTCTCATTTCTTTTTCTTCAAATTCTTTATTAATTTCAACAATAATTTAGTTTTACATACTAAAAATTAAATAGGGGTAAATTAGGAAAGATCTTGGCAAAAATTAATTTTCCAATGACATTAAAGAAACTTTCTTAATCCGTGTGAAAAATGAAATAAACCTATATAATTGGGACGGAGGGAGAGTTTATTTTCTCTTGCCCACAATTCTTCTTCTTCTTGAACCCCTTTTTCTTTCTCATTCATTTTCTTCTTCAATTGTTTGTTGTCAAATTGTTACATTCCTGTGTTCGATGATGTACCGACACGAACACGTGTATCCAACAAGCGATTTTTCAAAAAAGTACTGATGCGACACATCTCCGACACGTTAATTAAATTATTTAAAATTCTTCATTTATATAATATAAATTTAATTTTATACTTATTATTAATTTTGTTGTTGAAATCTTTTAAATATAAGTACCTATTTGTTATTTACTAATAAATTTGAGTTAAAAATATATATTCTTCTAGTAAAAAAAGAAAAAAATGATTATGGTAGTGTCAAAGGACTGTCGGTATCGACATGGACATGGACACGCTACCCTAATTGAAGTGTTTGTGCTACAGAGCCTGTGTGACAGAGTATCAAGTTTTGTCTTAGTGTTTACTTGGAATTGGGTCTCCGAAAGATGTTGAATTTGGGAAAAAAATATGGTGTAAACTCTAATGTTCTCCTGGTTGAAAGTGCAAAAATAAGAGAAGGGAGTTCCTAAAGTTTCAAAGACTGAGGGGGAAAGACAAGAAAAATTACCATACCAAAAGTGAAAATTGATGGTGTAAAAGAACAGTCTGGAAGTAATGTTCAGTGCTAAAGGAAGGAGAAAGATTTCTTAAACAAAGGTCGGCAGAAGAATAGAGAAACTACCTGACAGATGGGAGGAAGAGGAGGAAGAAGCTATAAGACCTGTTAGAAGCAAGGGAGGAGATTGTTTCTGTAGAAACGGGGGTTGCTCTTCTGTTAGAAATAAGGGTGGTAAAAGCGGTGCTGCAACAATAGAAGACTCATTGTGATGTTGTAGGAGAATAAAAAGAAGGTGACTGACAGGAATTTTGTGAGTACCATCTGGAAGACTAGATTTATGGTGTAGGTTTCTATGCCTTCCATTGGTAGTTGTGGAGGTATTTCATGGTGTGGGATTATGGAAGTAGTTGATACTATGGTGAGTTCATTTTTGGTGTCAATACAAATTAGAAAAAAAGATGGGTTTCAGTGGTAGGTTTAGTAACAATCATTGTAGAGTAAGAAAACTATTTTGAATGAATTGGTCGGTTTAGCACCAACCTGCGGCAGTTTTGGTGTTCGAAGGGTGATTTCAATGCAGTAATGAGCGTACCTGAAAAGTTTCATGGTAGCTCGTTGAGTGATTTAAATACAAGCATGTGAAATTTCGATGCATTTATTATAGAAGTAGAATTAATGGACCCATGGATGAAGAAGTTTCTAGTCTATGATGTGAAGAATATATTCTAAACGGGCATGATTTTAAGTATTGTCATCCGCTTCAAGAAGTGCATAACAGTGAAGTTGGATCGACAGCATCAGATCCCACAACCATCAAAAACTTTATTGCCTCCTCAAGCCCAGTGTTGCTGAACACAACATTATCACTTATTAGTTCTGTACTTAGAACTGTTTTCTTGCACTGATAAGGTGTTAGCGGCATGCATGACATGAGCATTTTTCTGTAAATGTACAAAGCTCTACGATTGGCCTTCCGTAATTTATTTTATGATTCACGTAAGACTTGGCTAAATATCCGTGCAATATAGCTGGATTCAAACTTGAATTCAAGATTCCAACTCCAACTGAAAGAGATAGAAGAGTCGACTAGGATTAGCTGAAGGTTTCAATATGCGGTTTCAGAAGAAGTCCATATTTGAGAATTCTATTCTTTCTTGAAGCGTGGAAGATTCTACTTGAATGGAGTTTGTAACTGGTAATGCGTAAAATTGTTCAACATTTGAAGTTCAAGAAGACAAAAGTAGACTCTTAAGAAAGTTTAATAGCCAAAAATGTTTTACCCACCACATGCAAATAGATAGTTGAACATATAAGCCACATATATTGAGATGAAGGCACTAATAAAGATATATTATGTTAGTTAATCAATGCAAAAGTAAGAACATATTGAACCTGCAAGCTATTGAAGACTATGCAGGCAACATAAGATGACTAAGCAAATTTACTCTATTACTCGAGTAAGAACCCATCCACACCCAAATAGAAAAACAAAACAAGTTTTTCAAAAGTGATAACTAAGTCCAGAGGAAAAGCTGTGGAATAGAATTTCACCAGGTAAGACAGCTTACCGGAGCATGAGTGCTCAGAAAATGTTCCTCCGCAAAATTTTTTGGAACCATATCACCACATACTTTACATTTTTCTAGATTCCGGGAACAGTGCGCAAAATGCAAATCAATATTTGAAGAAGGAATTGCTCTCTCACTGAAAAATAATAATTTTTAAATAAATTAGCAACAGTTTCAGATATATCAATCTCTTAATTTCAGAACCTTTTCCAAAACCATCCCTCTTTTCTCTTAATTGGTATTTATACAACAACAGTTTTCAAACTCAATTATGCAGAAAAACAGTTCATTTGTACAATGAGCATTAAAGGAGAAACAATGAACAGATCATCAGTACAACAAAAGCACTATATATTTGATAAGAAATGTTACGTAGTTCAATAATAGCTAATGCTGACAAAAGCACTATATCAGTGGAAGCAACCAACAAAGGTTTATCAAAGACATCATTGGAATTAGTATCTAGAAACAACAAATGAGTATGAAGTATTAATGTATTTTCCTTTCCAATCTTGTTAATTCATGAAAGTTGGTCTAAGGATAATTTAATGTGCTAGTTAAGTACTTAATGAAATATAATATTAGACCAAAAAAGTCTACAATAGTCCTGTAAGTCTTATAATTATGGTTGTAAATTTTCTATCTCTGAGTCTGAGGCACAGTTATAAAAGAACAAATTTTACAAAAACTGAAGTTCTATATCAAGTAGGCAAGTTGCGAACCGGCCCTAGATTTGACGCCTAAGGCCTCTATAGCGCAGACTTTTCAACTAGGGAAGCATATCCGTGTCCGTGTCCGTTCCGACGAGTGTCGAACACGTGTCAACATCGACACTCTGACACTACCATAATCATTTTTCTTTTTTTTACTAGAATATTATATATTTTTAACTCAAAGTCATTAGTAAATAACAAATAAAAACTCATATTTAAAAGATTGCAATAGCAAAATTAATAAAAAGTATAAGACTAAATTTATACTATATAAATGAAGAATTTTAAAGAATTTAATTACCGTGTCGAGGATGTGTTGTGTCAATATTTTTTTGAAAAATCGCGTGTCGACGTATCCAACGTGTATCGTGTCGGAAACACATGTCCGTGCAAGTGCATCATAGCCTAAGGCCTCTAAGAGTGATTATTAGAGTCCCTTATCTTGCATATGTAATTTTTCATTTTTAACTAATTTATCTATTTCTGTGCCCTACACCTATCCTAATTCTCACCATTTGCCTATGTTTTAAGAGCTTTGACATTTAGTCCTACATCACCAATGATCATGTTGAATAATTAAAAGGGTAGGGACAGCCTCCAAATTAGCTCAATGAATCCCCATGCCACCCAGGCCCTCTTCTTCAAGGAAATTGCAAATCGCTCTTTGCACAATGACCTTAAACATGGTAAATGACCTCAAACTGAGTATCAATTAGTCTAGACCACCTCTAGAATTCAAAAAGTTAAAAAAAGATCCATAACTAGTTGAGTGCACCAAATACAACGAAGCCCAATCAATCATAATATACTGTTTAAAATTTATTGTAATAAACTAGTAAAGCCCCATTTGCCACAACAATCAGAGATGACAGAACTCACTGTTCCTTATCAAGACATAAATGGTTATTAAGCATAAAGAAGTTACAAATTAACTTCTTTGTGAAACAATCAAACTAAATTATATAATTCATATATGACTTCTACCAGTTTCACCAACTCATATTGCTAATCACTTTTCCTATAATCAATCCTGACAGCCAAGTTTGTAAGAATGTGTCCAAATTTAATTCAGGAAATGTTATAAATCACAAACATGTGCATACAGGCTACAAACAAGAAGAATTTTGCATTAGCAATCTGAGATTTCGAGAAACTAATGCCATACATATTAACTGTACTAAGATCAGTAAACCTGGCAGGATAATTATGAAAAAAGATTTTCCAATAACAAAAAATTACAAGTGAAAGATTATCCGACACACAAAAAGTGGAAAAAGAAAAAAGACAGAAGANAAGTGGAAAAAGAAAAAAAGACAGAAGAATCTCACCATTGGCGGCAGACCTAATGATCATCAGAAGCTTCCGCCATTTTTACCTCACTTCAAACCCTTTCCGAATTACAAAATTGAGATGAAAAAATCAAAGAAAAGAGTTGGGTAAACTAATTGTGAAAATTACAATTCAAGATTCTGAATAATTTTTACAAAGAATAATATTCTGATCCTAAGTTTGATTAGGGTTCCGTACGAGATCGACCGAAACGGTTTTTACTTTGGGATAACGAGTCGTATTATATTTTGACGTTTACTCTAGCTGCAACAATTAACAGCGTGCGATTTAGGTGTATTCATGGGATTTTTGAACCTTTTTTTGAACATTATCATAGAATTCTTTTTGAATGATAAATTTTTATGTAATTAGTGCATTTTATCTTGTTTGAGCCCCCAATTTTATTTTATTTTTATATATAATGCATTTTAAAATAGTAGATGGATGGATAATGTATGGTTAGTGTTTTGAATCATTTTATTGAAAAATATATTATTAAAATAAAATGTGTTTTAAAAAAAATTGAATCTAAGCATAATTTTTTATAAAATTATTGAAAGTCTTTTTTTATATTAAAAATTTTATAGAATTTATTTGACTTTTGAAACTTTTTATTTAAAATATAATTAACTTGGATATGTGCAACAATGAAAAATTCACACACACGAAGTAGAGGTTGGATCCCCCTTCCCCTCTTTCATAATAATAAAAATCCTTCATATCCTAAAAGAGACAATCCCCTGATCACTATTAAAAAAGGCAATCCCCTTATCACTATTCATTTATGTCACACGAGTTTCACATTTACCCTATTTTATTGTGGTTTTGCTACAGTGGTAAATATATATTTGTTGACTAATTGGTATTCCAATTGATATTTTATATAAATATCTTTTATAAATATCTCTTATAAATATCTTCTTCTCCACGAACAAAAATTTCCACCGGTGCAGTAATCTCTTATAAATTTCTTCTCCACGAACAAAAATTTAGTTTCCTCCGGTGCAGTAAAAGTAGTAAATAAAGCGAATCACACACTATAGAAGTGTGTGTATAAAATTGATAGAGAAGTTCTTTAATGCAGAGGTGGTCCTTTTATAGGCGTCAAACAGAGTAATGGAGATTTATGAAAGGAAGCTCAAGCAATGGAAGAACAGTACCCAACACAATTGTAGAAGCCCAATTTTGATGATTTTAGTCAGAAAATGGACAAACAAAGGAAGCGAGTGCCATTTTAGAGAAATTTCCTTATGGAGTAAGACGTTTGATAAGAGCGTTGGCCTAATGGCTCATCTTGTGTGCATAGTATATACAAGAATTTGTTCAAGTTTTGGTCCCTATATTCCTGTCATACCAGTTAAAGACCAAATTCTTCCTCGGTCCAGTCCAATAACAAGTACATTTAAGCCTATTTTGGTTCGATTTTATAGCAGAAAATTTGAAGATAGAGGCTTAGTTGCCAAAGACAATACGGTTTTTCATGCAGCGGGGCCTTCAACATTTGGCGGTTCAGGTCTTGCAATGCGTTATGCAAATGTGATTCACTTGGCTGAAAGATACTTGGATTCAGCAGCATCAATAGATCATGAAGAACATGAATCCTTATACCAAATGTTGCGGAGGAAGATAAGTTATTGGCTGCCGGGTGGAGAGATGCAATGGCGGCGATTTTGAGGTGGCTTGCACCGACGGCAAACAAACGACACAATGAAGTGGCAAAGGGAGATGAATTTTGAGAGGATGAAGTTTGATTCTAAACCTTCATTAGTACTATTGTTACAGACTTTGCATTTTTCTGATAAAGAGAAGACAAACTGCGAACTGTGCGGAGTGTCACTCCGCGCAGTGCGAAGTCTTAACTCCGCAATGTCTCCGCAATCCAGATTGCTCAAGCTGGTCGAAAACAATTTGTAATCACAGTCCATTATTTTCCTTACACTTATAAAATAAGAAATTCACAAAATAGAGTTTCGTTATACATAATTCAAATAGGAAAGGAACTGTACAATTCAGTGAAGCACAAACCTGAACACGAAGACTGCACTTCTTATCCACAAAAAGTTTCCTATTAGACTCATTCAAGCACAAAATTGAAGTCCCATTTAGGTCAACTGCAAAGCGAACGCCAAATCCCAGAGGCCAACCCTCTTGACTCAAAGAAGAAAAGGTGCCCACAAAAGACAATTCTATAATTGTCCTCAAAACCTTAGCACGAAAAAGCTTGGGATTGCTGGTGAATTCCAAGTTCGTTGGCTCAGAAACTGAGAATTTCAAAGGCTGAATTGAAAAGCTGTGAGATAGGTTTGTTCTTAATGGCTTTAAAGATTGAAGGTGATTGATTTAAATTGTGGAAATGAAGGCTTGGGAAAATGGGTTGTGGGGAAAATTGAAGTAGGGAGATGAGAAGTGGGAAATTTGGTTTGGGGAAGCATTTGAGCTGAGAAAATTAGTGTAGTTCTGTACAAGGGCGTATGGTAATTGGGAGAGGAACATATGATTTTGATTGTGTAGTGGTTACGCCTCAGATTGAACAGGGATGGAGGTCCGCATAGCGCGGAGTAATGCTCCGCTATGTTCGGAGTGAATACTCCGCAGAGTGCGGAGTATACTCCGCGCAGTTCGGAGGGATACTCCGCATTGTGCAGAGTAAAAACTCCACGTAGTGCGAATTCGTTTTGCTAAAAAAAAAAATATTATGTTTTTAAAATTACTGATTTATTTTTTATATTTTTGCCAAAAAATGAACATTTCATTATTCTACGTAATTTAATTTAATTTAATTTAGGTGATAACATTTATTTACAATTTACAAAAATTAAATACAATTTTACGCGACAAAACTTCATTCCATATATACACGAAAATTAGAATTCCTTTTGGGGGCAACCCCCAACAAGGGGCGATACCCCCTCGACCCCCGCAACCTGATCGGTAGGTCGATTCCCACCGAGAGCGTTGCCCCCAAACCCTACGAGGGGCGTTGTCCCTTCGACCACCGTGACCTAACTGGGCAGGTTGATCCCCTTTGGGGGTGTTGCCCTTAAGTCCCCGCTACCCCTCGACCCTCGCAACCTGAGTCAGGTCGATCCCCATTTGGAAGCAGCAAACCATTTACATAACAACAATAAACAAAAAAAATATATTATCTCCAAACTCATGATTTTTTGCTAAACTTGAAGTTTGCTCAATAAGATGGTATTTCAATGGCCCCGATAAAATTTTAGCAATAAAACTTGACAAAGTTTTATTCCAGAGTTAGTGATTATGCAGTCACTTGAATATTTTTCACTAAACTTTCTTTCCTTGTTCAGTGGGTACTATAAATATTTTGGTACAAAGTACAAGTATGAATTGTCAAACGTTAGCAAGTTTAGAAAAATTAATATTGTCCCATTAATTTCTTCCTTAGAAAAAGTTTTGACTACCAAAATCTTTTCATTTAAATATATTATCATTATGAAAATTTACTAATTATTATGTTAAATAAAAATTTACTCAACTTTCACAATAATTTACCTTTCTATTACTATTTAATACACTAACATTACCTTACAAATACCAAAGCCCGTACATTGTACGGGCATACGACTAGTATTTTTAAAAGAATAAAAAAAATTAAATTGTCTTAATTAGTATATAAAAATATATATTTCATCATTCTTTGATAAAAGAAATAAAGACATATAATACTCACTATTATCAATATATCAAGCCAATTTAATTACAAAATTAGTCTTTTATATACGAAATTTTAAAAAAATTATTAATTACAAATTGAAATTTTACATAAAAAATTGGATGAAAAAAAAATAATGTTATAAAAAATTTAATTATAATTTAATCGTTTGAAAAGAGAACAAATATAATCAGTAAAAAGAAATATTTAACCATGTAGGAGGCTACCCGCCCTGTTTCACTGTCCCTTTTATTTTATTTTTTTCCTTATAAATTCTGGACTAATTTAGGAATGAGATTAAGGACTCGAATAATTGGAGTGAGTTTGGACATAAAATAGTAGAACTAAGGTGGATTTTAAATTTTAATTTTAAAAAAAAAACTACGCCTATGTTTTAGCCCCATTGTTTAGAAGAATGGATTTATAATAGTGATTTTTAGAGAATTTTTAAATAAAAAGTAGGGAAAAAAATTAATTTAAGTGCAAAATTATTTTATTGTGAAAATGTGTGGTTGAAAATAAGTTTTTAGAGAATGAAACTCAAATATGGGCCATATAAATGGGGCAAAAGGGTTTATTTCTTGTGGAAATTACACCAAACTCTACTTTTGGATATCTGAATTCTTAAATCAGGTGGGATGTTTTATCTTTCAAAACGAGAAGTTTTATTTAATTAATATCTTTATAAAATAATTAATTTACTAACCCTAACCCACAACCCACAGCAACCCGGCCTTCTTCTCTCTCTCTACATTTCTCCCCCAACTCCCACCTCGTCGTCTTCCTTTCTCTCTTCTCTCTAACCGGCGACCTCCACCAGTGGTGCACAGATCACCGGCAACTACCAACCCACAACCCGTCGTCTTCATCTCTCTTTCTCTCTCTCTATATTTCTCCCCCAACCCCAAACTCGCTCTCTCTATCTACCCCATCCTCTCTCTCGCCACCGTCGACCCCACCACAGCCACGATCTGAAGTGGCGATTGTGGTTTGTGTTTCCTTTTCTGTTTGTGGTTTTCAGATCGCGAGGTGGTGGAGGTGTGATGCCAGATTTTTGGTTTTTATTTCCGATTGTGGTTTTTAGATCATGAGGTGGTGGCAGTATGGCGGCAAGGTGGTCCTGGATTTTTAGTTTTGTTTCCGTTTGTGGTGGTTGTTTTGGCGGTGCTGACTTTTTGGGGGTTTTTTTTTTTTT